CTGCTGATTTAAACCCCTTGTGGAGTTTCCTCAGTGCTTTAAATCTGTTCCGGGGCAGGAGGAGCCCCCGCTGGCCCTGCCCGTCCGCCTCCCGGGTTTCCTGTCCCGCTCCCGGTGGGTGCGGACCCCCGCCCATCCCCTCTCTCCCGCAGGCCCGGAGCTGTCTCCCGGCGCTGMGGACACGGCGGCTGCCGCGGGATSTGTCAGCGAGGCGGAGCTGAGGCGSCTGCCCGAGTTCAACCCCCCGTCSTTCATGCCTTTCGGGAACGTGGGCACCCCCCTGAGCGTGTTCCTGGAGCTGATCCGGACCTGCAGGCTGCCCCCCCGCATCATCAAAAAGCTGCAGCTGCATTTCCCAAAGACCGGCTCATCCCGCAGGTATGGCAACGTGCCCTTCCAATACCAGGACACTGAGACGGTGGCAGAGGAAGGAGGAGTTTACACGGCTGAGGGGGATGAGATCACCGAGGGAGAGGAGCCGGTGCCACCCTCGGGGGTGCCTCACCCAGCCCAGCCCCAGCCCCAGCCCCACGAGGAGGAGGAGGAGCAGCACCAGGAGGAAGAGCAGTCACACTCAGATGATGTAAGTGGAACATTCCAGCACCGTTTGAGCTGTGAGGGCAGATCCCACTCGCAGAGTTCATTTTTAATTTTTTAATTGGATACATGGCTTGTTAAAAGCAGTGTTAAAATGCAGTTGTTCACCCCCCTGGTGCACTGAGCCCCTCGGGGTGGGGACAGTGGGGTCAGGAGTGCTCAGGATGTCACAGGGGCTGTTCCCAAAGGGTCTGGTCCCAGGGGAGCAGAGGGGAGGTGGTGCTGCCCTGGAGATGGGCACAGCTCTGCTCTGCTGGGCAGGGAGGTGGCACAGGTTGGGGACACTCTCTGTGCTGGCAGTGACGTGCAGAGGCTCTCAAAGGGCTGACCCTGGATGCTCCTGCACTTGCAGTTTAGTCACTGTGAGGAAAATGGCTTTTGTGACAAAGCTCCTGGACTGGGCTGGGCAGGAGCCAGCCCMGCTCCCTCCCTGGCAGACGCCTGTCTGGCCTGTTCTCCCAAACCTCTGTCATTACACATCCCCAGGCAAGCCATTCCCGTTCTTTCCTCCACCAGAACTGACTCAGATGCCAAATCTCTGCTGCAATTCCACCCCATTCRTTTCTCCTGGCAACAGCAGGCACAGAGAGTGCTTTGTTCCCTCCTTTTCCCAGCTTTTTATTCCGTCCTTTCCTCTGCAGACTAAACAGCCTCCTGCAGCAGTTTGTGGCAGGCTGTTTGCTGGCTGTTCTTGGCTGGCTGTGGCTGTGCCCAGAGCTGTGTCTGTGCCAGGGATCGCTTCCTGGAGCCCACACAATCTCCGTGGGGATCAGTGCACTGGAATTAATTCATTGCTAGTGCTGACTTCAGGCCCAGCTCAGCTGCTCCTTACATGGGCATGTGTGCGGGGCGGGTGGGGCAGTGGGGCCGGGGTTTGTCCCATTTGCTGACTCTGGCAGTGCCATTAGTCAGGAATGAGCAGGGAATGAGCAGGGAATGAGCAGGGAATGAGCAGGGAATGAGCTCATCACGGTGTCGGGAGCGGCTCTGCCCGCGGGGTGTTCAGGGGATGGTGTTGGGAAGGCTCAGGAGTGGGGAGGGGGCTGTGCCCGGGGAGGGGGCTGTGCCCGTGTCCCCAGCCCCATCCTGGAGGGATCTGTGCCACGCTGGGCTCTCCACAGGACAATGACACGTGTGAGGAGTGGGAGAGGCACCAGGCCCTGCACGAGGATGTGACGCAGCAGGAGCGGGCGCGGGAGCGGCTCTTTGAGGAGGAGATCGAGCTCAAGTGGGAGAAGGGCGGCTCCGGCCTCGTGTTCTACACGGACGCGCAGTTCTGGCAGCAGGAGGATGGAGGTGACCCTGCACTCTGTGTCACTGAGCCCACCAGCTCAAATCAGCCTAAAGCCCTGACAGTGGAACCACCAACACCTCCCCATGGCTTCTGAGCTCCTCTGGGCACAGAACTGCTCACCACAGACCCCATGGTGCTGCTGCAGTCCC